AATAAATATAAAATGATTATGAAATAAACTTAAATGTTTATAAAATATTAAACAATATTTACTTACATAATTTAATTTTAATAAAACAAAAAGTCCAGACTTCAATGAAAAATCTTGTTTAAAAAATGACGCAATGTCAGTCATTGTACTTTATTCTAAAATAATAAAAAAGATGAAACAAATTAAGAACAAATTTAACAATTTTAAAAGTATATATATTGCCATACTCAGTCTTATCCATTTAAAATGCCAGCAAAAAATAAATAGAAATTTGAAAACATTATATATATATATATATATATATATATATATATATATATATATATATATATATATATATATATATATATTATATATATATATATATATATATATATATATATATATATATATATATATATATATATATATATATATATATATATATATATATATTAAACAAAATAAATTAAATAAAAAGAAGAAAACAAATATTTTATTGAAATTCTATATAAAAAAATTAAATATCTACATCAACAACAAACACTTTTATTTAAGTTGTAAATTAAAATAGTTAAAATGGCAAAAAAAACAAAAAAAAAATTTATTTTAAATAAAATAACTACATTGAAAAATACAAAGTGAACACTCTATTTAAGTTCTAAATAAAATAATTCATGCATAATAGTGTTTTAAAAGTTTTTCATCAAAGTATTTGATGAACAAAAAGATTTGTTGCAATTTAAAAAAAAAGGTTGTATTTTTTTAGCAGGCGCTTATTTATATGCTTGCCAAAATTTTTATGGGTGTGTAGGCAAGTGCATAAAGCCTTAAGCGTGAAAGCGCTGGTTAAATGGATAAAACTGCATACCTATGAAGAAGCATAAGACTTCAAACCAATGACGTATAAATATAACTAGATGCGTGACTTGAGTTAAAAAGTGAAGCCAGAATTTAAGATTTTTAGTGTACCGCCAAAAAGGTTTTAACTGTTAAATTTTTAAGAGCAACTAATTATTTTTAAAAAATTGCTAATTTTTAACCATTAGACTCAAAGCGTCAAAAATATTACCTTGAACTTATTTAAGGAATAAAAGCAAGTCTTCGACTTGGTTAAAAAAGAGCCTTTTTGTTAAAAGACTTACAGGTTTTGATTCATGCCTACTTTTAATTGAATATTTTTAAATGTACCTTTCATTACTATACAACCTACTGTTTTTACTGTTTTTTACTGGTTTTCTACTGTTAAAATATGATTTTAATTTTGTAAGTTTTCATGATTTAAAATTTGCTTTATTAATCAAGAACCTTAAACATTTAATAGATGCCCAATATCATCAATATTTTAAATATAAGTCTATATAATGTCTCAAATAAAATTAATATAATGTCTCAAATAAAATAAAGTTATACAAAAATCTGAAATATATTAGTCATTTGTATATACACATATATATATATATATATATATATATATATATATATATATATATATATATATATATATATATATATATATATATATATATATTTATATATATATATATATATATATATATATATATATATATATATATATATATATATATATATATATATATATATATATATATATATATATATATATATAAATTGAAAATATAGAAAAATTAGTTCTCTATAGATGCTTAATTAATCAAGTCAAATTTAATTTATCAAAGTAATAAAAAATCAATCAAAATTTCATGACTAATTATTATTTAGATAAATAATTCTCTATATTTTTGTAGTCGCGTTTTATGTTTTTGGCAGACACTGGCTTCACTAAGTTATACGCAAATAGCTGCGAGTCATTTGCTTCAAACAAAGAAACATGGAGAAGCATAATCTTTTTTTTTTTAAATACTTTCAGCAGAATTTTTAAGTTTTTTTATTCCTTATTATTTTTTCTAAGAGAAAATATACATATAAATACAGAGAATTGTAAAATATACCGAAACACCACATTTCTGAATAAACTCCTATGTTAACAAATAACAGTCTTATTTTATTTTGCTTTTCATGTTAAATACATAAATAAAATTCCAATATAATTTAAATCTGAATAGTAAACTCAATCAAACTAGTACCAGTTTGACTGTCTAAAATATATATATATATATATATATATATATATATATATATATATATATATATATATATATATATATATATATATATATATACACATATATATATATATATATGTATATATATATATATATATATATATATATACATACATATATATATATATATATATATATATATATATATATATATATATATATATATATATATATATATATATATATATATATATATATATATATATATATATATATATATATATATATATATATATATATATATATATATATATATATATATATAAACAGTATTGCAGGCCTCCCAGAGTGTCCCAAAATCCCAAAATGTCCCAAATTTTTTCAATTTTACTTTTTTGTCATAAAATTTCATAATTTATGGGGTTATGTCCTAAAATGTCCTAAAATTTTAAAAGATTTTTTTCAATAAATGTTTTTATACAATAATATACTTATAGTAATGTTGTTTTTTATTAAAAAAAAAAAACAACATTACTATAAGTATATTATTGTAAATTATTCATATTGTGTGTACATTAAAATGTGCGTATTTGAAAATAATTATTAATCTGTCAAAAAACAGTGTGTACTACAAAGTCATTATTATTCATATCTATTGAATGTGTAATTATTATTAATTGTCAACTTTATTGTTGTTTTTATATCAGTCTATAAAATAGAAAAAGTTGTAAAAAGTTTTTAGATTACTTTGTGAAATTATAGTACAACTGCTTATTTATAAGATGTCTAAGAGAAAAACAAAATATAATAAATTGTGGGAGTCTGAGTTTAACTGGATCCAAGTTTGTTCTGGTGATCACTATTCTGCAAGTTGCAAATTGTGCCACAAAACCTTTTCAATCAGTGGAAGTGGAGCTGGACAAGTAAGAAGCCATGCAATTAGCAAACCTCACACATCAAGGTTTAAAGAAAGAAAAAGACAATCAGAATTTAGTAAAAATAAAGATAAAATACTTGAATTAAAAGCTTCTAAGATTAGTTACACCATTGAGTAAGAGATTTTAAAAGCTGAAATCATTCATAGTTTAAAATGTGTTGAGTCTAAATATTCTTTTGCCTCAACCAATGGAGATAGTAAAATGTTTGAAGCAATGTTTCTAGATTCAAAAATTGCTAAAGGATACAGACAAAGTGAAACTATGTCTAAATACACCATTCAGTACGGCATCTTTCCATATTTAAAAACGTTGTTATTGGAGGATTTAAATGATACTGTTTTTACATTTAAATTTGACGAATCTACTAATCAACAAGTTAATAAACAGTATGATGATTATGTACAATATTGGTCTAGAAAGCACAAGTGCATTAAAATTGCATACTGTGGAACTGTCATGGTAGACCATTGTACTGCTGAAAATTTGTTAGAACATTTCCTCGAGCTTGTAGAAAAAGTTAAGCTTAACATAAAGTTTATGCTCCATATTGGTATGGATGGTCCTAATGTAAATATTAGGTTTGAGAGACTTTTAAAGTCGTCAGAGAAAATGAAAAATCTTAATAAAAACATTATATCAATAGTCACATGCCCTCTTCATATAGTTCATAATGCATTTAGAGCAGGAGTTAATGTTTTAAATTTCAATATTGACTCATTTGCAATTGATGTTAACTTTTTCTTTAAACATTCTGCTGCAAGAAGATCTGACTATCGACAAATAGAAGATCTAACAGAAATTATTTCACACTTTATTCAAAGACATTCTTCAACAAGATGGGTGACACTCAGAAGAATATGTTCTCAGATTTTAGAACAACACAAGAATCTTTGTGAATATTTTATAAAATTTTTTCCAACAACTACATCTTTTAAATCAACTGTTAGAGATACTGAAAGATATAAGAGGATTACAGATATTTTGCAAAATGAAATATCGATGCCGTATATTTCTTTTATTGCTTTCATAGCAAATGACTTTGAAATAATTTTAAAAACATTTCAATCAATTAAACCAAGAATTCACCTGGTTTACTCTGAAATGTCAAAACTTTTTGTTGCATTAATGTCCAAGTTTATCAAAACTAAGCTTCTGTATGTTAATAATAATGGCAGCAATTCCATAAAATCTATTAATGAGCTGCTGATGATTGATGTGATTGACTCAAAAAATTGTAAACCACTAAAGTTAATTGATATTGGCACAAAAGCCAAATCTTATTTTTCAGAAGCTCTAGAAATCTCATGAAGCGAAAAGAAATTTCGGCAAAATTGTCTTGAGTCTTATCAAGCATTTACTAGTTATTTAAAATTAAAATTACCTTGGGAATTACCTAGAGACTTATTACTAGGGAAAACCTAGTAACGAGTCTCTAGCAGCTGTCTCAAATCTCACTCTAGAAGTATGCAAATCACTGGAAGTAGTCTTATGTAAAGTTGTTCCATCTTGTTCATCAAAGGAAAAGGTTTGTGATATTGTACCAAGCGAATGGCGAATTTACCAAATGGAATTGCTTCCAGAGTGCTATTATAAATGTTCGGAAGAATTAGTTTCAATTGGGAGAAATCAAATTTCTTACTGGGAAAAAGCCTTTCAGCTTGTGGGTCTTCCTATAGTTTCAAAACTTTTATGTAGTTTTGATATTGATACACTAATCAATTCCTTTGAGACTAAAATTTTGAATGATAGTGGTTCACCTAAGTTTCCCAATATTACATCTCTTTTCAAAGTTGTTTCTTCACTTTCGCATGGAAATAGTGCCCCAGAAAATGGATTTTCAATTAGCAAACACATTATTCAGTTACATGGTACTTCACTTGATCCAGAGACAATTGAGGCTTTGAGGTTTGTAAAAGATACTATATTAAGCTTTGGATCCATACTCGATATTCCAATAACAAAGTCATTTATGCAATCAGTTAAATTTGCTCACTCAAGTTACAAAGCTTAAATGGAAGCTAAATGCAGGTTGAAAGAGAAGGAAGAGAAGCATATAAAAACTAAGGAAACTGAGGAGGCAAAACAACATGTTTTGAAAAATGAAAAAGAAGCTGTTCTTGCATCCATTCAACAGGTATGTTATACTAAACTTCATGAAAATTGTTTTGGTAATGTGATTTGTACTTAATTTTCATTTTTTTAATTATTGCATGAAGTAAAAGTTTGTTTTTTTGCAGATAAAAAACGGTCTATCAGTTGCTGATGATTTAGTTTTTGAAGGAAATAGTGATTTAAAGAAGTTTTTGCTTCAAAAAAACAGCACAAGAAATGAATTGCAGCGAGTCCAGTGTAAAATTGAAACAGGGATGAAAAGAAGACAGGAGCTTGCTGATGAACAAGACGTTTTAGAAAAAAGGAGTAAAGAACTGTCAATTTAGTCAATTTAGAATTATATTGTTTATATTGCAACTCTAACTATTTTGCTTTTAAACTCTATTTTAACTTAGTTGTATTATAACTCTAAAAGAATTATTATTTTATTTAGAATTTTATTTTTGAATAAAACACTTTTTTCAGATAATTAACTTAAAAAAATCTGTTAACATTTAATATTTTGTTTCTATAAACGTAAATAATTTCCAAGGGTATCAAAAGGTAAATAATATATTAATATTAATTGAATTTAAAGGGTTAATTCTCAAACTTAAATTTAAATAATTAAATACAAAAACTCATTCTTAACTTTCGATTGTCCTAAAATGTCCTAAATTTAACACTAATTTGTCCTAAAAAGTCATAAAAAACTTGGAAAAATTGTCCCAAAATCATAAAATTTTACCCTATTTTAGAAGTGGGAGGCCTGGTATTTTGAAAAATTTAAGAACCACCAAAAAACAAATCATAATTTATTTTCATTTTAAAATTTTTATTTAATTAAATATATTTTTCTGGTAAAAAAATAATAATAATAAATTTTAGAAAATAGATAAACAAAATTAAAAATAATAATGACAAAAACTTTTAAACAAATAAAAAAAATGTATTTAAAGTTTTATTGATAATTCTTATTTTAAAAAAATTGTGAAAAGTAAAGAACCGCAGAACAAAAAACAGTAATTTTTACCTAATACCATGTAATTCTACCTTGAATTTTTAAACACTTGGTAGCCAAGTTAGACACTCAATATTTTTGATTTTAAACCATTCAGAGACAGTTTTAGTCCTGTGACATGGTGAATTGTCTTGCTGAAAAATGAACGGAACACTTTGTTCAAGTGCATCAATTGATGGTAACAAGTTGTTATTTAAAATATTGACGTAATATATAGAATTGACTCAACCATCAAATAATTTAAACATACCGAGACCATAATATGTCATGCAGTACCATATTCCGACCGAACCGCTACCTTGTTTTATTCTTTGAATGATACAATTGAGATGATATTTTTCTGAAAGCAGCCTGCTAATCATTTTTTTTTTTCGGTTATCAACCTTGATATTCATCTCATCGCTGAACATTACTGTCCTCCATTTTTCTTTAGACCATTCTTTGACGCTTTTGCAAAATTCTTTTTGCTTTTTTATATGTTGTTTAGTAAGTCGTGCTTTTTAGTACAGCTTTTTTTTTTGTTAGCTATTAGTTTCCTATGCACAAGTGATGCGGATGCTTGACGTCCATTTGAAAGTTTCCATTCCCTTCTTAATTCATGCAGCGGCATAGTTCGATTTTTTTTTGCCAACCTGATTAAAAGGCGATCATCATTGGGTGTTGTCAAACGCAGTCTTTCAGAACGATGGCAATCAACACCATCGTTCTGAAAAAAGACTGCAAAAAAAAGATTTCGTCTCTTTGAATCTTTTGATGATTGTTAACACCAAACCATGTGATCGCTTTATTATTTTTCTTATTTCACGAGTGGTTTTACCTTCCTGGTGAAAATTTCCTGGTGAAAATGTGTGTATTAGGGTAGGTTGATTTGTTACTTTTTATCAAATTTCATTACGACTAAGGTACTGAAAGGTGCATTTATATATAAAACAAAAAAATTAAAAGTTGAAGGTATTTAGTCAAATGGCGGCTTGCGGATTAGCGATCAAAGTTTAAAAGTATTCTCATCAACAATTTTTATAACAAATTCAATTTTTTGCTTGTGGTTTTATATTTTTTAATACTTTCAGATCAAATTTTTATTTAAAAAAATTGGACACACCAATAAAAAACTCAAACTAAGTGTTCAAAATTATAGACACGGTGAATTGTTTTGTTTTATTAAGCAATTAGGGCATAAGTTGTATTTTAATATAAATTTTTTTCACTTCTTTTTTTTTAAAGGTGTTATAAGAAGTCTTAATTTTCTGAAATTTTATATTTTATATTTATATAAATATTTATATTTATATTTGACTAAGCTCTGTGTAATTTACACTTATCCACCAGAATATTACGGATGTCAACTGCCTGTAAAAATAGATGCTTGATATCATGTTGTACGGTTTCCAAGAATATCCGCCTTTGACCAACTCCATAGCATCTCTCAGGAACTTTTGAATTCTATGATCTGCTAGAGTTCTCTTACTTGGTTACCATTCATCATGTTCTGTAGGTAAAAAGTAAAATATTAAAGATAAGTAAATTTAAAATAAATAACTGTTCAATATATACCATAAATAAAAAGTTTAAAGTCACGCAAACAAAAATACCTGAGGTTTTATTATTTCAGCTATACATTCTAGGGGATCTAGTAATGAACTTTAGAACTCATTTTTATTATGTTTGTGATGAAAAATATTTCCTTTCTTCTGTTAAATCTTGTTACTGTGTATAGCAGGTATATCTATTAAAGACAGTCCCTTCAACCTGGACGGTCTCGTATCTAAGCCCTTTTTTTGATAGGCGTCTTTGCTACTCGCATTTGCTTCTAGGGTATACACAAACTATTTGTTCCATTGTGCATTTATCTTTTTTGCAATTAACCTAAACTTTGTTACATGACTTAATGCCTAATAAACAGCAACAATCAGATATGTTAAATAGTTTATTTAGTTTAAAATCCAGGTTAGGCTCAATATTTGCTCTTGCATGTTTACGGTTTCACAATGACAACCTCTGTAATTCTCTTCACTTTTGGGTTACCAACAGGCTTGGTTGGGAAGCGGGTACGATCGCACTCAATAAATGACCACGGAAATAATATTTAGTTGCAAAAAACCGGCCAGATTTTCTAGTCATTTTGAGAACATTTAAGTTTTTGTATATTTCCTTGTTTGTCCGCAAAATAATAAGTTCATGTTATCGTAAATTTTAGAATATTTTGTTTTATGAACTTACATGGAAACATACATAAACTTGAATGTTATCAAATATCTTAGTACGAAATAATAAAAAAAGAATATTCGCAAACACAAAAAACCCGCCAAATCTACGAACAACTAATTCTATTGGTTCAAAAAATACTAACCAAAATTTCTAGAGTATTCAAAAAATACTAACCGAATGGCCTGATTATTCTGTTGAAATATTTTAAAAAATTGTATTATTTGAGTTTTGGTTGAGATTTCTAGCATAAATTATTTTAAGAATATACTATCAAACGAACTATTATTTTAATTCTTGGAGCCACATCTACAAAGCTATAAATGTTTTAAACTAACATTATTTGTTTACAATAATAAATGTTTTAAATTTATATTTTTTAACTTGTCAACGTTTTGTAAATATATTATAGATTTTATTAGTATATTCTTATTTTTTATATATAAGGGATGTATTTTTTTTGTATCTAATGTATTTTTATGTATGTAAAGTATTTTTATGTATGTAATGTATTTTTATGTATGTAATGAATTTTTATGTATGTATTTTTTATGTATGTAATTTTATGTATGTGTATTTTATTCAAATGTAATCTTTTAAAGCAATATGTGCAATTGATTTTGTAAACAAAAATACTTTCAATAATAACTGCGTTTTTAATAAAATTATTAATAATCGTCAAAGTTAATACAAATAATTTTAACCACTAATCCATTTTCCTCAGTGTACCCGATTACTGATTCTTTCTCCCAAGAAAGAAAAGTTATTAAGTTCTTAGAAATTAGTTTACTAACTTCAATTATTTTTGCTTCAGCCATTCTTACAAACTCGTTATGCTTAGAGTTACTTTTTTCTGTTTTAAATACTAATTAAAATTATAAAGCCCACTTAATAAAATATCATCAGCAGTATTGTGAAGCAGTTCCGCTTCCTCCTCACAATGTAATTTAACGTTTTTTTAAATTTCTATCTAGCTAATTGAATTTCTACAGTAACTCAATAATTTAATTATTTCATTTGTTCATCTTACTAATAAAAATTATTTCATTTGTGTTAAACTTTTTAAGCTATACGAAGCATAAAACAGTTATTGAAAAAACTTTTTTATTTATAAATAAATCATTTTGTTGAATCTTGTTAGACTTTTCAGGGCCGGAAGCTGCATTAATTTGGCGACCTTTTTCATGTCATACAGCGTAAAAATGACTAAAAAAAATACCGAATGGTCCTCTTGACTATTTCTTCTAACATTGTGAGTCCCAGGGCTATAGCCTTACTACCCCCACCTCACCTCCTCAATCCAGCACTGGAAATAAAGCATTTGTTTCTTTATAGTTTTTACTTTATATAAAAAATGTCGCTTAATTTTAAAAACAAATTATAAAAGAGCAACGTTTTAAAAATAATTGCTCTAATACATTTATTTTGCTTAAAGTTTTTTCGCATTAAAAGCTATTTTTCTTTTTTTAACTGTCTCTCATCTGTCTAGTTAATCTTATTGCATTTTTTTTTTTTTTTTTTTGAAGTGTTCTCAAAACGACTAAAAAATCTGGCCGGTTTTTCTCAACTAAATAATATTTCCGTGGTCAATTATTAAGTGCGGTTGCACCCGCTTTCCAACCAAGCCTGGTTACCAAAGGATTTTTTTTATTTTTGGCATTTCTTAATTTCTATAACTAAAATGTTTTGTTTGCAATATTATGGGATACAAAAGTTAATTGCAATAAATTAATGAGAGCTGTGGCTAAGCTTGCCCAAATACCTTATAAGCAAGGGGGGGGGGGCAACCGAGCAAATTTAGAACCCTTTTTTCAAATTTGAGGAGGTTTTTTTTTCAAAGTAGTACCTAACAATTCATGTTTATTTTTAAACTTTAGGGCCTTAATATCAGATTTTGGAGATGTGCTTCTGACTCACTAGCCACGGCGCTGGAATTAACATCAATTTACTAAAAAAACTAATTAATTTAAACTTTGCACAAAATATTAACTTGATTGTTAGTAATATTTAAACATTTATAAAACATGTTTATTGTTTATATTATATATATTGTTTATATTAATCTATTTTAACTACATTGTATTAAGATTATCTAGAAAAGTAACATTTATGAAATACAACCAGTTAAGTGTGTAAAACTAAGCCAAATTAAAATAAATTCAAATAATAAAAATTAAGAAAATTTATCAGCTGCTTATAAATTCGATTGGTTTGCGCTCTAAATATTAAGTTAAAAGCGATAAAGACTAAGAAGTTATGAGATTAACAATTATTTACAAACATTGTACAATACATGTGTGCTTTAAAAAACGAAGAAAAATAAGTTTTATAAAACAGAGAAAAATAGTATATGATATATGCAAATCCACAAACTAAATCAAAGTTCTGCAAGTTCTGATATATTACCGAACCGCAAAACCCAGCGGGAGGGCCGCTGGGTTTTGCGGTTTGGTATACACTACAGTTCCTTCAAAAAATATTTTTTGAAGGAACTGTAGTGTTTAAAAATTATCATTAATTTTATAAATTTTCAATAGTAATAGTAATAGTATATGAGTTGCAAATAGGATACAGATCCTATTAAAGTCATATAATGACTATAGGCAACTGTTAATTGAACGGTCAAGCATTCGTTTAAATTCATTAGTCGAAGAACAGTTAACTGTTGCATCATTGAGTGCATTCCAATGCTTAGCAACATGGTTACTAAAAAAATAATATCGTGGAATGCAATTTCTGTTAAATTCGCGTACAAACTGTTCTCGTTGACCACATCAAGCTGGACGTGTAATAGGTTTATTGTGTCAGTTAATGATGGTAAGACCTTTTTGAATTTTAAACTTTTGAATTAAGTCACCTCTTATTCTATGATCCTCCAGTTTTTGAATTTGAAATAAGATACATATATCTGTGTAACCAAGATGTTTGCATATGCTTGGGACTTTTTGGAAATTTTGGATGTTGTTTCACAGATGTTATTATACATGGCAAAAATGGATGTTATTGCCCTGACCCCATTTTTCTAGGTTCAGCTTCATCAACCAAACCTTTGTCCATTCAGTGATTTTATCTAAATCAGTTTGAATGTCAGTGGTATCATTAAGAATGGTTTTTACTTGTAGCTCATTCATTAATTTCAAATCATCTGCATATAGTTTACTGACACATTTAAATTGTCTGGCAAGTCATTGATGTAAATTATAAAAAGTATTAGGCCTAAAACTGAGCCTTGTGGGACACCGCTAGTAACGTGAGCCCAATCAGATATGTGTTCTCTAAGTATTACTCTCTGTTTTCTATTAGTGAGAAAGTCTTTAATCCAATCAGAAAGATCTCCAACTATTCCATAAGCTTGATGATTAACAATTTGTAAGAGATTGTGTCAAAAGCTTTTGAAAAGTCAAAATATACCACATCTACTGCATTTTTGTTATCTAAGCATTTTGTAACATAATCATTGGATTCTAATTAGTTTGTAACACATGCTTTATTCTTTACGAAACCATGTTGAGATTGAGACAAAATTTTTTGTTTTGAGAGATGATTTACAATGTCATTGGTTACTAAGCTTTCCATTAATTTACATGGAATAGATGTAAGAGAAACTGGTCTATAATTACTTGGTTCATTGGTATCACCTTTTTTAAATAGTGGAGTAACATTTGCGTTACACCATGCACGAGGAATCGATCTTTCTGATAGTAATTTGTTGAATATAGTTGTTAGAGGTAAAGATAGTACTTTAGCACATTGTTTTAATATCATTGGTTGGACAGTGTCCGGTCCGGTTGTTTTATTTGGGTCTAAATTTTTTAACTTATTTTTGATATCATCTTTTGAAAAATGAAGGTTTGATAAATGCTCAGTTGTACGATCTGAAAGTAGTGGAGAATCTTTGTTTACTGAATAATTGTTGAAGACTGATTTGATAATGATTCAAAAATAAGTTGTAACTGTCATTTATATTTAAGTTGCTTAACTCTTTTAACCAATCTATATTTTGAAAACATTTAATGATAGAATTGAAATCACTTTTATGGTAATTGTACTTGAATGTTAAATAATTTGTTTTATCTTCATTACTTGATAAATTATAATTAAATTTTAATACCAAATGGCCTTGACAAGCTAATCCAAGTGGTGTTAAATTTTCTGTGTGTTTAATTCGGTCTGATGATTCAGTTATGACCAGGTCCAATATATTTTTAGGCATTTTATTTTCTTGGATGAATGTTGGAAATGTTACATTTTGAATGATGTTTATATTGTTAATAAGATTTACAACTCTAGCATCAGTACTGTTTTTATTACCATTAACTTGAACAAAACCATCCTCATACCATTTGATGTATAGAAAATTGAAATCACCACATATGAGTATACCTGTATATATTTTTCTGTTTAACTCTATTTTTGCTGTTTGTATACTTTGAATTATTTCATCGTCAGCTTGGTTTGACATTTTAATGTTAATGTTATTTGATTTTTCGACATTATAAATAATTTTTGATTTTGACAGTGGACGATAAATACTACCAAGCTTAATAGTTTTGTTTTCATACTTGATAAGGCATCAAATATGTTCAGATTTGGTAACATTCATTGATGAGTTTTTTTATTTCAAATAATGATATATTGTCATGAACATATATTGCCACGTCAACACCATTATTTCTGTTTGAAATATTGTCATTTTTGTTAAATTTGTGTAAATAGTAATTTTCAATATTTAC